TGCACTTGGCGTATTCGAACTGGTCACCAGCAGGTGATCAAAATACCTGTCCAGTCAGTCCTGAGTGCTGATCGAAGCTGTTTTTTATATCAAATTATTCTCTGTGGTCAATAAGCCAAGTGATATGACTCTGCACTGCATGCGATTCTGCTGTTTGATGTCTGGATTCAATCAACAAGTAGCCTTAGACCATGTTTTAGTGCTTGTTGGCACTTATCAGCCACCATTAAGAATACATTAACACTTCGATTATTTGCCTCCTAGTATCTGACACCAAAATACAGTGCAACACAGTGTCATGTCACCTAGCTTAGTGGCCATACTGGAAATTTGATCATCAGATTTCGATCAGCGCTGGGCACTATGGCCTAGACAGCTGCCTCGGTCACCTAATGAAAATAAACCCAAGTACTTCATCCAGTCGTAAATGCGTTATTATTGGCGTGTATTTTATAGTTTTTTTTATCGATGTCACATCTCCTGTAACATAGGCAACAGTTTCGATCAATATGAATCCATTTGTACACTTGTTCAATTTTATGAGTGGTTCTTTACTATGATATCCTTGGTAGTAACGCTAAACAATCATTCCATAAAAAGTTGTATTTGAAACAGTAAACCGAATCCCATAGTAGCTAAACAGAAGGCGGTTCTCATAACTCAGCAGATTGGTAAATATACCTCAGGTATGTTGAGTAGTTGGTGAGAGTATTTCTGCAGAAAGTAAATCGAGTGTTAACTATCTTGGATTGAGTTATACTTCTGATCTTGGTTGGTCATCTCATATCTTGTTGACTTGTAAAGAAAATCTTTCGTTTAACGTATCACATAAAGAAACTGGGGCTCTCTGGTACAACTCAAATTCTACTCTTACAATTTATTAATTCATGAATTTTACCTATTCTTCTTTATTGTTCGCCACTGATCTTTCTTGGTCTACTAAAAAAGGACCATATTATGTTGCGTAGAGCTTTGAAAGCTGTCAGTAGTATGAGTGCTTTGCCTCCGGCCAAATTGATTAACACTACAGTTGACAAACATTTAAATTCAAGCAAGCAACTAGCTACAGTAATTTTAACTGACACTGAGCAACCACTTCATTCACAGCTCTCTCCTAGTATCTCCTTAGGGATGACAAGAAGAAACTACATAAGACTGTACGCTCGTACAGCCAAGTACAAGAATTCGACTGTACCTTACCTAGCATATATATCAACCTTGTAATAGTGAACAATCTCATTTCAATAATTTAATTAAGAATGCAAAAATTCCTTGTCAGTAATATTCTTTACATTTCTTGAATTTTCATAATAACACAATTAGGAATGGTGTATAGGAGGACATACAAACATATTTTGTTGTTGAAATATACCATGCTGAGAATTCCAAATTGTACCATAAATTGTTTGAAATAAAGTGATTATTATTATTGGTTGGACTCTGAAAACAGACGCAAGTCTACAGTAAAGTAAACAAGAAATCATTTCACTTATTTTTAATGCCAACTAAACTATACAACATACGTCATCAGAAATGATTGACTAGCAGACTCTGACTCTCTCCCTGACTTTTTGACTAAATGACTAACTTTTGATAATATTATTATTTTCCTTGGGTTTCTAGTGGAACATAGGGCTTCAGTAGCACGCCTCCATTTCACTCTCTTCTCTGCAGTCTTTTGAACCTGGCTCCACGACTGCCCACAAGCTTTCATTTATTCCTCACACGATCTCCTCCATGTCACTCAAGCTCAGACGCCCAACTCGTCGTTTCCCCTCCGTCTTCTCTACATTCACCTGAAGTCCCGTGTTCGCTGCCCTGCCTCTTCTGCCAACTTGTTAGTTTTCGCCTGTAGATCAATTTTTTGTGACATTAAACATAAATCATTGGCGAAATCCAAATCTTTTAGGCTCTTTTCATCGGTCAAACCAGCGTATGCCTATTTCTTTCCTCATGGTTTGCTGCATGATCCAGTCGACCACAATCAGGAAGATGATCTGTGATAGTAGGTGGAAACCTAGTCTTACTCCTTTCGTCACTTTAAAGTCATCAGTGAGCTGATCTTTCCATTGTGGATCATTTGGCATGTGGCGTCTTCATATAGCTGTTGAATGAGGTTGATAAAGATTTGTGGCATTCTGTAGTGTTGAAGCAACTGCCAAATTACTTCTCGGTCGACGCTGTCAAGGGCTTTTCAAAGTCGGTGAAGTTGAGGTAGAGAGTTGACTGCCATTCTATACTCTCTTCGATGATGATGCGCAGCATACCGTTGCAATTCGATCCGCACATGATTTGTTCTTCCTGAAACAAGCCAGCCAGTTCCGGTCGTAATTTTGAATTCAGTACATCCTTTAGTCTCTCCAGGATGATGCGGCTTAATATTTTGCTTGGTGTGGACAGGAGTGGAGCATGATTCCGCGCCGGTTCTTGCAAAGGCTTAGGTCGACCTTCTTTGGCATTTTGACAAGGTAGCCCTTCTTCCAATCTGCAGGTACCCTTCCTTCCTTCCAAACCTTCTACAGTAGTGGTGTGAGCATGTCCGCTGTTGTCTCTGTGTCTGTTTTCAGTGAATCGGACATGATAGTTTGTTAAATCAGTTTGCCTAATATTGATATAATGACAGTGGAGGTAACAAATAAGAGTAATCTCAAAACAGATCCCCAGGATGTTCACTGGACATATCGCGACGAACATTTGAGGTATGTGTACCACCGCGCTTTTTGTTACGCATCGTTGAAATTCAGTTGCGGAAGGTATGAAAACTGAAGTTTTTATGGTACGGTGTGATAATGTAGTTTGACAACTCTACAAACTCTCATACACAACTTTCATAGTACGAAAAATCATGCATATGAGGCAATGATGGAACATGTCAAGCATACCTTAAGTACCTTTAATGTAGATTTTAGAAACCAACCGGTATTCGTTTACTGGTTATCGAGTTTGAATTCTATCTTCCCTGTTTGATAAGATTGGGTGAACGAGTGAACGTAATGAGTGTGGCTCATAGCCTTCAGTATGAGTCTACAGTATTGTAATGTGTAGTATAGTCACTGCTACTGCTGCCAGCAAAACCAATCTTAAAACCTGGAAAAGTTAAAGTGATAGCCAATCGTACTAAATTACAGTAAATATTTTTAGAATCTTACTGAATCCATTCCATAATAAATCTTATTGTTTAAATGCTACATTATGCATGTATACTTTATATAAAATCAATTGACCAACTTCATATAAAAGAATGAGCTTGGTAACCCTGTTTTGATATCTACATAGTTTACTAAAACTCATCACATGTTCAGTTTTCGCTCTAAGCACGTGATAAGTCAACTTTGATTTTTTTAAGTGTATCTGGTCAATCAGTTCACCTTATGTTGTAGTATCATGTGACTCCAAAGAAGAGGTACCAGTAACAGAATTTAAAAGAAATTAAATGTGCAGTATCTTATTTCGAGAGCAAAACAAAAATAATACGTAAACACGTTAAATGGAATTGATTTCACAGTTAATAGTAGCCTCAATGTCACATAAATGAGGAAAGATCTATTCATGTCAAAACCATGGTCTAATGTGAATTTACTAAAAGGGGTAGGTATTTGGTATAGAAAAGCTGTTGAGCAAAGCCATCATCACTTGAGGTAACTTTTAAGATGCATATTCATTATCGAAGCCATAAGTGCACCGTTTAAGATCGCGACCGGTATCATAAAGCGCCGAGCCTAAAGATATAATCAATGACGTTGAATTTGTGTTTAGCCTCAAGAAAAGCTGGAATTCGCGTGAGTAGCGGTTTCCCATTACAGCAGTGATTTAAGCTAAAAGAGCACGGTGATGAATTTAGTAAATGTAACAATAAGAGACTTGGGTTCTATCCTTACACAACTGTCTGAAATATTTAAAAGTAACTTTCATCTCAATTCGATATCAACCAAAAAGCCTGTAAAAATCAGTGAGCATATAACAAGTGTTTCACCTTATTCGGGGATTCTTTGGTAATGCTAAACAATCATTCCATAAAAAGTTGTATTTGAAACAGTAAACCGAATCCCATAGTAGCTAAACAGAAGGCGGTTCTCATAACTCAGCAGATTGGTAAATATACTCCAGGTATGTTGTGTAGGTGGTGAGAGTACTAAAACCATGATTCAGATAACTCTGGGTATGATGTAATATGCTATCCAACACCGTAACCAAATTTACCATTATAATTCAATAACTGAAATGAACCATTCAGTAAATTTATGATATGAATTAGGCTTCGTTCTTCACCGTATCCTTCCTTGTGATTGACGTGTATTGTACATTCAAACAATGATTTATAAGATGCACTTCTAATTATTTGGTAAAAAGAGGAATATTTGTTACCTGTTTGCTCCAAAAATATGGAAGGATATATTAAAATTAATAAGCTTTAGTCCTAAGATTTATGTAAACTGTTACTGGTAGGATGAAAGTACATGCGACTGATAAGTCTCATTTACGAAGAAATCAGATATATATTCAACCCAGACAATAGTGCTCATCAGAAGTTAAACATATCTGAAACAGCTAATCAATATGATAAGTGAAGAGTAACACTGATAATTGAACAAACAGGTCAACCAATAGTAGTTCATTGATCGTCATTAAAAAACACAGTGATTATACCAATCAAGAGAAAACAGGTTTCAGTGTCCAATCATGTGTAAGATAAGTAGTACTTTGACAGTCATGATGGATAGTGGAATCGAGGACACACGTCTCATCGCATATGAGACTCATTAACTGGATGTACCGGTATCCTAGTTGTTGTTTACACAAGGACTCAAACCTAGGACTGATCGCTTCAGAGCTAGTCAGACGACCAGTGACCAATCTTCTAAAACTTACTTAACAAATTCTCGAGTTACAACACACCGGTAAACGCTAACAGGACAAATTGCATGATCATCACTATTACATCTCATAAAGCTATACTCCCTCAATGCATGTCAACAATAATTTTTTTTAAAACATTCATTACATTTCGAAATCAATTTTATTTGCAAAGTAATACTAGAACAAAATTGTTTGCAAATGATGATGTTAATAATAATAATAATAATAATACGAGATCATAATTTTGAATATATACGTGAAGAGTTGGATATGTCCAGTGCACCGCGGTTACCTGAAATCGATGGATTAGCTAATCTTCTGACCACTGAATTTTAGTTGAGAAGGTTAGTTTATAATCGGTTTGGTAATGTTCATTTCATAATGACTGTCGTGATTATCGTCACTGGTGTCGACGACAGCACTGACATTTGCAGTTTCATCGACATTACTAGTATTATTGTCATTGCTACTGTTATTACTGACATGGTTACGTAACTGGTTCATATAGTAGTGATTCACGTCAAATCGAAATGCCATATGACTGATTAAAATTGTAGCTAAATCTTTTAATTCCACCTCTTCATCTGGAGAAACAAAACAAACAGATGCAGAAAAATAATAATAACAAAGTGAACGGTGGTAAAAATTTGTATAGAGCAATAACAATCATATGATGAAATAGCAATAGATCATTTTATCCATTCAGGTTGCTTACAAAAGAGAAACCAACTCTTACAGTGTTAGAAGATAAGGAAAATAAGCAGACAAAATTGCCTTTGAAAGAAACACTGCTGAGGATTATACTAGTGTTATTTGCTTTCTGTAATGCGATGATTTGGTGTTGATATGTAGACGAATAGTAGGAAAAAACAACAACAAAACTAACACATAATAAAAATATTTTAAGAGAGATTAACAATATGAGGATTAGCAAACAAATGCTTAACATTAAGGGGAAGCAGAAAGAATAACAAAAAAAACTGAATCCATCTGATAAACACAGTTCTAATCTTTCGAAATTCTTCATAAAAAATCTATTTCACAAAACTGTGGTAAATCAGGTTTCTGCACCAGGTCACATTGCTTATATGCGGGTCTAGCATGCTTCAGTATAGTTGAACCTGAAGGAGGCTTACCAAATGACGAATATGTAGGTCTTTAATTGAAATTTGAAAACCAGCATTCACACCTGCAGTACATATGTTTTATGGTTCAGTTTGGTTGATGGATAAAACACTTTGGTTTATTTACTACTTCATACACATTGTAGTACAATACTCGCTAACAGGATCACAGTGAATACAGGGGGTTAAGCCAATATATCCTAAAACATGTCACTTAAAAGACCAGTGATAGATATTCAACAGTCCTTCATAGACGGGTTTACAACTGGTATTAGCATTTCATGCTAATGCGAGTAGCAAAGAGGCAGAAGAAGCCTGTATGTGGTCAGAACAAAACAAAACGTTAAAAATATCCACGTCATAGTAGCTACGAATGTTCCGAAACTACTGTTTAATAATCTGAGACGTGTTAGCATCCATAAATATTTCGACGGTTCCACCATAAGAAAGAAACGGCTATTTGGCGAACAAAAGTCTACCTCCATGACCGCACCGCCTTCTGCAACGATCGATGCCTGCGAACGCATCTCTGCAGGCTCCGAGTACAATGAGGAATGAATCCAACTCAAACATAGACTGGATAAATGTCTACGCAATCACCCCGAACAGTGTTGGGCAGCAACGGCTAAACAGATCGAAAAGGCAGAGGCAACAGGTAACAGTAGACAATTATTTAGACCGGTTAAGGAAACTGGAGCGGAAAGATTAACGCTTAGTGAGACTATAGAGGAGAAGGATGGGTCTGCGACTCGAATAACTTACTGTTTAGAACACAAAAACATGTTCTTGTCTGTTGAGTTTCTGACTGTGTTCACTAGCCAATATTCAATAAGTAGATTCTTGAAGGAAAAGCTGCTGCTGTGTATTGACTCTCATTAGTGAGGATAATCATATTAGCCATAAAAACAGTGCTTCGTCTAAATGCACTTCAGAGCACTTGGGAGTGCAAATCAGTAAATAGTTCGACACTTATACAATAAAGTCAGTTCCAACCACATACCTCTACCAGAGTCATCCCTTAAGATTGTTTGGAAAGTCATATTAAATGGTCCAAAGGTTATGTGATTTCACAAATGATACAGTGTTGAGGCATTTGGAATCCACCAGTTTCACTCCAAACTCTCAGCACAGAAGAAACGTGTACAATCCTTGATTCTGCTATAGTTTTAACCCACTTCTTATCCTGGTAATTTCATTATTAACAATTATTTCTTATCACTTGTAATCTGGTCCCAGTTTCTTACTACGTTTCTTTCTCACCTTCCTTTACACCGCACATCTAGAGACAATTCATAGCTTAAATTATGTCTGGACTTATTACCTATTACTTTCATCAACCCATAAATCGTTGCCTAATCCTTTCCTGTACCTAAACTTAGTCTACTCTTTGGTGTCTCTTTATCAATGCACACTCAAAGTATCAGGCAATAATAGATTGTCGCTTGTCTGCAGTGATTTAAAATACTTTAGTAAACAGTATCATCAGAAAAAAAGTTCCTTCTTAAACGGATTGTCTTCTTTCTTTTCTCTTGTTATGATTATAACACTGGCTTCAAAGTTGATTACATAAACTAGTTGCTGATCCTTCATTCAATTGAATAAAGCTTTCTTACACTTTGAAAAAATGTAAACATGCAAGCCCACACATATGCAAAGTCGAATGCTAAGTGTGTCCGATCACAGCTGACAAATAAAAATGATTAGAATTTGACTGACAGCATTAATCTTCAATGGAATACAGATATATCTAGCTGATTTGTTCAAAGGAGAAAAAATCTCATTCTGAGCTCCGAAATCAATCTCTAGCATCAGAAAACAATCAAAAGTAATATCTAAAGTCTAACCGATCTAGTAAAATATATCTAAGAACGGGATTGAACCGGTAAATAACAATTATACTAATGAACACTAAAGCCTAACTAACACTTGCAGCTCCTCGCAATAGATCCCAGCTATTCTGTGAGTTACGTTGGTACTACTTGGCTGCAAGAACCTTGACAAGTGAAGCCGAGCTGGAAGTGTGATCCACTGGTTGAAAAGTGAGTAACTTATGCAAAACCAATTGGACAATGATTAATCTTTTTTCCACCATATATCAAGGTACTAATAAAAGAAAGTAAATAACTGAAGTATTTACCAGTTAATATAGGATTGCCATCAACATAAACGGTATGTGATGAAAAATTGGCCAACCAAAATATTCCATCATTATCTAGACGTATTTGACCATGACAACGTGATACACGTGCACTATCACCTTCATTTGATAAATCAATATGTGGCTGATAAACAAATGACCTACGACCAAATATAACCTGACAGAGCAAAAAGATAGAAAAAGAAAAATGTAAATGTTACAGATGAGAAATTTGAAAACAATGAAAATAACCACTATTTAGCTAGATACTTTGTGAAGACTTTGAAAATAAAAAAATTACTGGATATTTTATTTATCCTACCTTGAATCACTCCAACATGGTGCACCAAAGAAATTAATATAAATCGAAACGATAATTGTTGGATTTCATGGCTAGAATGCTGCCATTCAGTCAATCGATTGAAATTCACTCTTCATTTTCGTACAATTTGCAAAAATAACCAACAAATATTTTTTTCCAGGAGCATTACTTTTTTATTGCTTTATTAAGGTAACTGTATACAATGTAGTCGGTGCGCATTCATTATGACTCCTGATTTAGTTAGCCTTGTAGATACTAATAGTCTACTACTAAGGAGGTTCAAACTAAGTTGAAAACAAATGTCTATTGCTCATTGATTTTCAAATGGTCTATAATTGAAATCAATTCGTAATTAAAAACTACATTGAACATAGTGATCATTATGATTAATATTACTATATGCAACAGAAGAGAATGAACATAAGCCAGCCAACACATTTGAACGTTCATCTCCAATGCACAGAAACAAAAAGGATTACACGTAGTCATCTATCATATTCGATACATTCTCATACGGAAAGACAACCTTCATCGCCTGTTATATATACGTTTGAAAAGAAACTAGCCAGGTTATGACTCGAAATACCAGATTCTCGGTTATTAGATAGTTTTATAAATAAATCGGGTTCAAAGAACGATTGATTAATCTTCCTATTTAGTTCAACTTGATTGAGATTGATTGATGATAGCTAGTGGATCTGTACAGCTAAATGGAGCAATGGCTCACTGATCTAAACAATCGACTTTCAACCGATGGGTCACGACTTTGTTTGATTCGGTCTTGTATACTACTGGAAGCGTGTGAGCCGTTGACACTTCGCAACTGCCCAACATAGAAGACTATTTCTTCTTAAGCTACCTGAAAGGGGTTTTTGTGACCGCAGGACCCATGGGATCTCTGCTTGATGCCTGTCACACACAGCCTTTTGTGGGTTGCTACTTTGAGGTTTGGTTGCTCTGATGCCAGATAAACAAGAAACCCAAATCCTCGGTAACGTGGGGGTCGACCTTTTCTAACCCCATCTGGCAAGCAACAGCATGACTTCGTGTTCAGACTGCTATCATAGTGTAGTAATTTCCACTACAACGGTAACTGCTTTTCGTCTTACAACTATCCGACATACCGTCCTAGCACGGTAGGACCTCGAGGGAACAAGCGTTCTCTCAGTATAGCTCATTGGGTCATTTTGATATGTAAATCAGAGCACCACTTCAAGGTAGCAACTATCGATTGGGTCACGAGCTCAAACCCAGCCCCACCTACTGAAACCAAGGTTTATCATCAGCCTTGACATAATAAATGTAGATCATTACCTAAGGCACGAATTTGCACGTAGCTGCTGAATGTATTTCTATTGTATTAGCCGTACAACGAAGTAAAGATGGCTAAACCTTTTTTATTCCCGTGACAGTCAGGAAAAATAGTTCACAAAAGAGGTTAAATTGAGAGCTGGTTCGCAGTTTCGTACTGCTAGTAAGTCGATAGAACACTGAACCGATGAGACCAAAGGTGCTGTTTTGAACCTTGTTGAAGATCGACACTAATTGCAACTTCAATCAAAGTTTCGGTACTTGCTTTTCTATCAAGAGGACAAGCTTCCACGGATTTAAAACAATATTTAAAAAGATTACTAATTTGCAAACCGTGTCCATACTAAAATTTTAAGAGAAAGATCATGAAGTCGTTTGAGTAGCTAAAAATTAATAGCAATAATTCCGTGTCTCAGTTACTGGTGTCAGTATCAATTCTTTATTTAAATAACAGTAACCACCGATATAAAGCAAAAGGAAATTAGAACCTTTTTCTGTTTGATTAAGAATTGTGTCCTGGATCCTGTGAGAGATGCCAAAGCTGGATAAACTGGTTGTGGGTCCATTATTTCTAGTCCATCAGCTACGCATGTTTCAACTAAACGTGTCCAACGACTGGCTTCTTCTTTAGTTCGACGTAAGCGTCCCCAAAGACGCCCACGACGTCGATGAAGTTCTAGTCGACGCTAAATGACAAACAAGAAAGCATGAATAGTAAACATTGATGTAAACATGAATTTTACGTTATCCAAAGTGAGCAACTAAATCTGACTGGAATCATATCATGAGTTCTAAATGGAACAATATCGAACTCTCAGATAAAAATATAAATAAAAACTATCACTCCGATGAACGTTACACATGTTTGAAACTCAGGTTTTATAAACCAAAGGGATGTCTAATTAACCAAGTACCTAATTTCCAGTTTTAGGGATAATAATTCAACAATGAAATCACCAATCAGTTTACTTCTATCCAAAAAGCATTGTTACATTTGTTGATCGCATTTCAGTGGTCCTTTAAAAAAGAGAAAGTTGTGATAAGATGATACGCTCGACGACTGGATGCAGCCGATTGAAAGTCCTGACAATGAAAAGGGAACACTGAACTCAAGAAAATAATACACATTTATCTACTAGGCCATGAACCATAAACATATAGACTTATGATAACATACGGCTATTCAGATAAAACAAGTAGGTCAACGTTTGAGACCGTGACTCAACAACTGATACAGAAGACTAACTAGACCAACCGGCTATACCTGCGAAGGAAGTGCTAGACTTGTGTGCTACGCCCATCGGCAATCACCAGTAATACTTACCAGTAGCTCCGAAAGGCCAAAGGTCTTCCAAAAATACGAATCCATATCAGTGCTGAAGTCAGAAGAATCATCACTATTCTATCTTGGTAACAACTGTTCTCCTGCAAGACTAAATGTAGTACGTTAATTGGTTAATAGATAACATAAACATACTGCACCGATATTCGTCCTCTGATTTGTATCGACAAAATTCAGTCAAAATACATCAATATAAGCCAGTAACCGATGAAATCAAAGATTTATTATGGTGTATCAAAAAAAAATGTTTGAAAATCTGAACAAGACTAGCTTTATGGTATGATTACTAACACATAGGTCATCCAATCCAAATTACCGTTTGGGTGACACTAATTGCTATTTCCTACTACCACTACTTAAGTGAATATGAGTAGTCACAAAAAAATCATTTCACAACAAAATAAACTGACAGGAAGTCAAATTTAGGAGGCACACAATCAATAATGACGATTTAATTCTACAGGCATACTGTTTGCTTTTTCGATCAGAATACAGTTACCAGAAGTGAAGTCACTTACAAGAACTAATCCTAGATTTTACTACTTTTTTTAAAATACCGTCAGATTTTTGTAAACAACCGAAAGCCTATTACATTTTTATTTTATTTCAAGCCATAGAGTATTTTGTCTTGCGCAGGGAAATCAACTAATTGGAACAAATAAAAATACGAGCGATTGAGAAAAGAAACCCCGTCTTGTTCGTCCTGAGAGTTTATCACTTCGAATGCTTGCGTGCAATGAAAGTAGAAATCTTCTCAGAAATCTTTTCCACTAGATGTCGCTCATAGAATGCCCCATAATAATCGATTCGTATACGTTTATTTTTTTTCCAAGCAAACTCACAGTGAGATAAGGCAAGTATTTTCCGGTATATGATTCCTAAAATGCATATAAAATATATTTATTGTGTCAAAAACGCAGCTTAACACCTAGATTCACTCAACATTCTCAGTATTTCGTTAAGTATGTAAACTATTTGTTTACATATTCCTAAGATTTTTCTAGATGACTTGACTGGCAGTCTACTTAATCATTACCATTATTCCTGAGTAATTATTATGCTTGATACAAAATATACATAGTTTGCTTGGGTATTTACGGTTTACAACAGTCGGTTACGGGTTACAACCCCATTTCACCTAATAATATTTAAATTGATAGTTTTTTCGTCCTAGTATGGGACTCCTCAGCACTGCACACCCATGACCACCCCCCCCCTAAAGATCAGACCCAGGATCTTCATGTTTCGCGGCCAGCATGTTACCATCGGTCCATATTTCTTACTTCTGTCAGTTTACGATATAGCGCGGCCTCCATCCATCCACTCAGGTTTCCAATGTTTCTCCAGCTGTCAGCCCATGATGAATTCCAACCTAAAATCAATAAATCCCCCATAAGCCTCAAAATTGATAGTGTCATTAATTTCCAAAAACGTGTAACTTGTAGTCTAGTGCATGAGCCTAAATGTAGCTTCTCACATCCTTTATATTTATCATGACCAACTGCAAAACTACACTTTACTTTAGAAATCTATTGTTGAAAACGTTAGAATCTAACAAGTTTTAATACTTCTTATTACATTGCGAAGCCCCTTTTCCCATCATTTTGAATAAAGCAATCACAACATTATTTGCAGGTTGCATGCAGCTAATGAAAATCCTATGACGTAAAATATTATCATCCTATTCTAAAATGGTATTCTCATTGTAATTAAATTTATTAAGGGATCTAACTGGTATGAAAACCAATCGTTTTGCTAAGTGTCAGTCAGTCAACAGTATCATGGGACTGCACAACGGTATAAGTTGCCAAAATTGTTAAATGTAGGTTACAGTAATGCGTACACAGTAAGAACAGCTAAATAATAAGAATAAGTTTTTGCAACAATGATCAACTTTCCTGGGTGTGTGCAACACCTGGATTATAAATGTTAAGGATTTTACCACCACTGGTTTATTTGAACCAAGGTAACCAAACTAGATTTAGACGTATAATAAAAATGACTGACAGTTTTCCTGAGTCACCTTTGTTATATATGTTAGGAGTGAGAAGTACGAATTTCGATTCTCTTATTAATCACTGTTTTCATTTGTTTTCATTGGAACTTAAGAATGGTAGTTTTACCCGATCGATAGCACCATTTTCCTTTCCTGTAAAAGCAGCTATCGAGCAACCATTCCCCAAGTTTTTGTTCCTATTCGATGCGTATTGTCTGACTTTCATCGATCTTGATATTTGTTCTACATAGCTGACCGGGAAGTCTGCACAAAGTATTTTATACAACGACATTATTGTTACATTTTTTGCACAATATCAAATAATTGGTTTAATTTATTATTTATGAGGACCCTCGGACAAAATGCCATGGAATAACCAGCCCTTTTAAGATTTATTCCAAATGCCTCTGAGGTACCTCTTTGAATGGTAAAACTACAGCCTTTTTGTAGTTACCTTTCTTACTTCTCTTCTGCGTTTGTCTTTCTTCTTCATGACGACATCCTTTTAGATACTAATTCTTTAATAACATTCAATGAAACATTCATCTCTTTCCGTTAGGCAGATACCAGTTACCCTAACGTGGCGATCGGCCTGCTATAGCACGATGACATCGCAAGCTATGCTAGTTGATCTTTAAAAACATCACAGTCTTACCACATCAGAAGGGTCTCCTAGGTAGTAGCTAGACACAAAGCAACTAACCCAACCCTTAACATGCTCTCAAAAGGAGGTATGATCCATTCTGGTGGCCACATCAGATATAACTGGCTAGTGATGATCCAAAGCAACACCATGTATCCTCGAAAACATCATCCGGAAAATAAGCTGTTTCTCGTGCAACAAATAGGCCGTGCGTGATCGGTATCTAACGGATGTCCTGTAGACTCTGAGTTCACACACTATCACTTCTTTATCATGTACCTCAAGAAAAACTAGCCTTCAATGATGTGGGCAGCCACAAAGTGTCAACCACACCACACCCTCACAACTATGTTAGCGCTCAAGTTCCCTCCCCCCCCACAAACACACACACCACTACACACCTCCCTCATCCTTAACCTCATAATCTTTCTTCATGTCTCTCAGTTAACAATCCTACATCACCTTTAATTTCTAGCTCCACAGCTTCCAAAACCGACCTCAGTCCACAGAACAACATTCTTCATCCTAGTAAACCACGTTCCAAACTACACATTAAAGCCTGCGATGTTCACACCATCCCTCAATTTGGACAAAACTTTACTATATCGGGACATGGATGCGTGCTATGCTCGTGAGACACGCATACAGGACCCAAGTGCGGTTATCCACTTCACTTAACCGGACCAATAGGCTGAATCCGAAATATTCACCCTTTGAGTTCCCGAAGATTCGATGGCTGGGTCTCGTGGTTTTTCAGGTGTGCATAGAGCATTGAGCACTAAGGTAGAAAGCTCACTACTCGGCTGGATCCCAGTCGAAAGTCCTCTCCCATATAGGCTGCTCGACTGAACGGCACACCCAGGACAAAAACAAATAGTGAAACTCATCGTTGTCTATCTGTAACCTCTCCTTACACACACTGACTGCAGTTCGCATGAAGTGAAGAACAAGTTCTACCGAAAAATGTATCACCTCCTACTCAATCCAAAGAGCTCACATGTAAGTAGCTTTTCCAGTTGATTTCAATACACAAGTCGGTAGGCTGTCAGACACAAAGGCACTTTCGCAATCACGGTCCAAAGAACAAATAACGACGACAGTGTGCTTTAACTGCGCTCACACAACGACCTACTTCGAGCCAGCACAAACTTCAGACAGAGAGATACAGTGTTTGACATGGCGTCCACCGAGCTCAAATCAGCAGTGGACACAGGCAGACCAAATTCCTATCAGTCATCGTTAGCGAGGGTCAGCGGAAGACTACCCCACCGTCTAGAGCACGTGTTTAGATAGTGACCACGAGTTGGTTCGAGCGCGTGTGTCTGAGTTACAATGGACGTAGGAAAAAAACAGCAACAAGACAACCGCAATTACACCTCGAAAATGGGAGCACTAAGGCCGGTTTCAGTGAATTCATAGATAGACATGAGGAAGTGCTGACTACCGAATTCCTACCTAGTGACTAAACGCTGATGTAATCACTGTGACACCTAATGGTTCTGGACTCAAACCCTGATCGGGTCGTGAGTGAGCACTGATCACGAGTGTCATACTTAGAAAAAAACAGCCGTTAAGTGTTTTCAGGTTATGAATCGTTCTCCAACTGATGTCGTTTCGTGATGAATACTACCACCTTACAGTCAATCAATCCCCAAAAATCTTCAAACTGAAAAATTTATTCATTATATATTGGTCCATTCCACAATGCACAAATTTCCCATTAATATATTTTACAATTTCGCTTTGAAGTTTTTAAATCCAACAGTTTAGTCTTAACCGTATGCACCAACACTTGAGAAAAAGAGAATATAATTGGCTGTCACATGTTTCCAGTGTAAACACAATAACGATAGGCATACAAAAAGTTCACTCTCCATAAGTAATTATTTGCATTTATTTTTGCCATGCTTTCTAAACAAATTCCACTTCAAAAATCCTAGGGTAGGATAAAACCTTAGTGGAAATAAATCTCGACTGAAAAGTCAGTAACTTGCATCGTCGCGTGATAGAAAACACATTGCAATGTTCTTCTCAAGATCATTGGTAATACACAAGAAAAACTTACCTTCTGATCAAATGCCTGGTGGTTTACAACTGGAAGTATTGATGACTGGAGCATCAGTGATGAACGTGGCTTATCTGATTCGGGTGCTGCTGAATAATTTTGATCATACGTAGATGACAGTCTAGTCAGCTCTGTAGCACGTGGACTAGGCGAAGTCAATGCAAAATAATGCGGTGACGCCGAAATAGGACTAGAATGGAAAGATGGATTATTTGACTGGTTAGACAAAGACTCTTTGATAAGTGCCTCTAAGACGGTTTGTGTAACAAGACCTTGAAAACCATGATACGATGTTTGACTTAGCATATGTTGCCTACGTGTCATTGAAGACTGTTCAGTAAGTTTATTAATTCCAGCTGAAATCGCATTTGCCACTGTTTCTTCTAACAATAACTCTGTATCTGGAAAACTTTCAGCATCTCCGCCTAATGCTATAGAGGTAGAAAAATTATCCTCCTTTGATATGGATGTGCTTTCACGATTCATTGTCAGTGTTCCTACAGTTGTTGGTGCTGTTATTGATGATGAATTCATTGGACACGATGGGATACTGGTAGCTTTCGATTTTAACTTGCCTTCATCTTGTGTTAGAGAATGACAGCTATAAAAACGACACCATTGACGGTATATATCTAATTCATCTCGTCCAACATAGAATATTGTAGGATTTTTGCGTAGAATTTCTGTAAATATTGAACAACTCTAAAAAATATGGAACAAGTTGCAATTAGGACAGTAAATTTAGAAAGAAATTGATGACTTTAGCTGTATGAAAAACATCTCTAAACTGCATCAAAGATTTGTCAAATAATTCCTCAGAAAAAACAAGAAACTTTTTAAAAAAACAAAGGCTTCCCGTACCAGTAGAAGATGGTAACCTACTTATCTAAGAGTCGTTATTGGAAACATCCTTGGTAGTAATGGTGAATAATAGCTACCAGCAGAATTTAGGACGCATGTTTCGTATTACTTCGGGATCGTCAGTTGCATTTATCAGCAATTCAGTAAGAAATGTTGTTCCCACTGAGACGGATTTGAGGCACAGAAAGTAACCATAAAGCAGTTGGCACCAAAACATTCTATGCTCAATTTCAATAGCTAGATGGACATAAAATAGACAGACTAAAATGTGTAACCCACTAGCATTTATGCAACCACTCAGAACACATGATGCTTATGACAACTTTGAAAGATTTACTGTCAACAGTGAATGCAAGCACATATCCTTAGCAGTCTTGAAGAACCTAGCAATTCGATGGTATAAAGTACCTACCACGATTACCAAGTGTTTGAACACAATTAGAGCGGACTGCACGCTGTTGGAGAGTCAGATGATATTATTCGCATGTTCAAAACTTAAGTAAATATATGATGTTCAACTTACGCTTTGTGTCTACCAAATATGAAATGACGTCCCGCAGATGATTCGCACAAACTGCTGAGAATGTTAGATCGCCAAAAGTCAATGCTTTTTGCCATGAATTCATAAAACTTTAACTGGTAAGAATTTGAATTTATTATTCTTCACCTTTTTTCATCTCGTTTAAAACTCTCTTTTTACCGCTTTTAACAACCTGTTAATTTTCCTGCTAATTTTTCTATGTCTCTTATATATACCCCCATTTTCATACCCTTCTGATTGAAGTAAACATTCTTCAATTCAATACTGTCTTCTTTTTAGTGTTAATCGAGCGAGTTATCTAGTATCACATTTCAGTTATAGTATACCATTTCCACAAATCTCAACACAAACACTTAGTGTCTTCACTATTTAACCTACGTAGGAATTTCAGGTTAACTCTAGTAATCTATATTTCAACGTGGATGAGAAGTATCCAACTGGTATTTTCAAAATATATCTATAACCTTAGTGAGATATCCAAACGCTTATCAAACAACAAGAATACTACCCAGTAGTTTGCTCTGTTAAAATATATCAATCCATTTGAAATCTCACTTCATATTCTTATGAAGCAGACGCCAAACGACAAGAAAGATTAACTCTGCCATATGCCAAACTAGGCTTCATGAGTGTTTCTGGTAAAACATATGGGGCACTCAATGTATTCAAGGTGCAAAATGGTGCTTCAGAATAAATAACCATACGTACCTGATCTATTTTTATTGAGTGATTGGGTTTGAAAAAAAATGGTTACTTTATCTCTTTCTGAGAAATATTACTAGTACTAGTGGATTCATACGTAAACAAATTCTCGATTGATAATGTATAAACGAGAAGTGATATTTGAATTGCTGACAAAAACAAATCAACAGTAGTATTTACCAAGTCATAAATACTGAGCGATTTCAACACACCATCTGGAAACACATCGGAGAAGGAAATCTGAGCTATGACATTATCTTCTTGTGAACTGAATGGTACCTGTCTGTCCAATTGGGATTTGATAATTGATGGGAGGTGTGCTATCGCCTTTAATGTGGTGCTAAGGAAAACAGATATATAAACATCGATAAGACTGTTTCATCTTTTTTAAATCGGAATACCAGTGAGATAAGAAAAAGTGAAAACATTAGGACAACATAGAAACACCATCCTATTATACACAAATATTAACAAGGTGCTAACGACAGTAACTTCAAAAGATAGTTAAAAAGACTGTAGAGCTATACCCCCCCCCCATGTTGGATGAAAATTGATAAATATTACGCAGTTTATACCTACCATGCATGATATTCAGCTCCTGGATGAAGAAGAGTATCATGTACTAATTTTTTTCAATGAAATTGAAAACAGCAAGATAAAAAGGATCCATTTTATTTCGGTAACATATTGTCAACTGCTCACAACCTTAAGTATCAAAATATTTAGTTTTGTTGAGAAATTAACCTACTTCAATTTATTAGAAAACAGACTATAAGTCATCAGTTAAGATGGACAGAAATAGTCATAGTGTAGCGGTAAACAGAATGGCAAGTTTAGGTGTATTGCAAAACTGTCATGATTACATGCGCAATGAAATTGAAGTTTCTCGAAGAAAAGGACAAGTGTAACTACCAAAAGATTGAAAAAAAGTAAAATGTTAGACCACGTAAGCAAGTCATGACAAATAAATTACTAAGCAAAACACACAAACTTGGTAAGTAAGGAAGATTGTAAATACTGAAGGTCCATGCATGAAATGGTACTTAACTGACTGTCAGTCTTCTGAGCGTCTTGAGCAGAAATCCATGTATGTTTGGCATGAGTTTTACAGCTATTAAATGTAAGATAATAGTGTAGGATTGGTCGTCGGTTACTCTAAGCTGAAGGATAGGGACAGATATGGTAGAATACATTGACCATTTCACTTACCTGTTCAGTTGCATCAGAATAAATGAATTGGTTGCTGATGAAATTTCAGCTCACATACAGAAAGCCCGCCCGGCTTTTACCAACCTAGATCATCTACAGTGCCGGCGAGATATCTAACTATCTAGTAGAGGGTGAATATACTGCACTGCAGTTCACTATGTCTGACTATAGGGCAGTGAGACGCAGCCGTTGAAAGTAGATGTGACGTTACAGGTTTTTGACCACTGATGTCTTCATAGCATTGTTCACATATAGCTGAAAATCGGCTAGAACGGTGTAATGCATGAACTATTTGACAGCTTCAAAAGTTTGAACATTTTCGCGAACCCTCAGTTTTTATTTCCCTCCTCCTATACACTTTTTTCGATTTAAGTGTCACTTCCTTTCTATCCACTTGTTCTTTGTACGCAACTGTGAAGTATGGCAAACCAAACCAGTATGCTTCGGTAACAGGTTCAACGTTGATAAGCCTGTCGTCGTCTTAGATTCTCCGATCCGGCCACTGCCAAGATATAGAAGATCCACAAGCGAGGAAACAGAGCGTGGGTACTCATCACGCTGACTTATTTTGACCCAAGGAGAAATGTATTTATTTATGGGTTTCATTAATGGACCATCTAGAGTGAGAGTCTGCGGAAGCGATTTGAAACTGTTACGATGCGGAGTTGTAAGAACGAACCCTAATACTTCAAGATTGATAGCCGACAGTTGAGATGCTTCAACCCGAGTGATTCGCAAGAGAAATCAAAAGACTGGTAATCAAACGAGTTTATATTATCGTGGACTGAGAACGTTTATTAGTAAAAAATCACACCAGATATAGTATTTATAATGAACTTGGTAGACAAGGGATAGTTAGTACTTTAAAAGAGGCATGAGACAATCAGAACACTGGTGGGTTCTATAGAATGTAAACCACGTGCGGTAAAAAGAGCGGGAACCAATGCAGTTCCAAAGTACAATTGGTAAGCATGGAATATTAGGGATATAGGCATATCTGAGAGAGATCACTCAACAAGGGGAAAAAATTAGAATAATAACAGGACTAGAGTACATGAAAACCTTACTACTTAATATTAAATATAGCAGTTGACATTGAGCATATTTTGTAAGACTCACCATGAGACGATTGGATCGAATAATAAATCATGCCAACGATTCTCAATTTCTTCTTCCGTATAACGAACAGCGAATTTTACAGTATGATATACTTCTGTAAGGTTACACATCTGTGGCAATTAATTTTACAAAAGGGTGTTTTATTGAGGTAAACACGATCTAATGACTACAATCTCATTGATGAAACAATGTGCACTAATGTGATATTTAGGTATTCTTTTTCAACGGAAATAATGGCTATTTTTCCATGCAAAAGTCTGGGAACAATTCGGAATACGTTCTACAAGAAACTAATTGCATGAGAAAAAAGTTAGTGTAGGTCAGTAAACTTAACATTTTACAATATACTACTGGAAAACCTGTATAATTAGAAAACATCTACACATATTTGAAAATTTCGCTAACCAGGTGGGAGTGGTTTAAACACCAAATGGTCGCTTTGCTTGGTTGGGGCTATGTTTATCAACGGTTTATCTGAGAAAATATTTTTCAACGAACCGAATGGTACAGATCACTTGAATATAGCCCATTGACACGAATAGACGATTCGAAAACTACAGTGCAGTTTACCATTGTTGGACAGCACTCGAAACATAGGCGAAAAAGTCACCGGCTTTAAGATTTGGCTAGTTTGGCTGGCATTACATGCAGATGGACCTCTTATTTTGCTTGGTGACATACTTTGTTAAATCATAGAACTTTTGTGTTAGAGACCGCAACCTGATATCGGTAGGATGGTTTCCAATGAAAACTCTCTTGACACCATGAGTGAGTAAATGAAAGGAGTTTAATTACTAGAAATGTCCATATAAATCGCCTACTTCGAGATATTTGCAAATCACCCATCCGATTTACAATAAAATACTCATATCTAACAGATTCGTCAACACATTCTTGTGGCTTTAATTGCAGATGTAAGTGATAAGGGGAAACACTCTAGATGGGTGGGTTAGGTTAAGAGAAAGTAAGAGAAAGCAACCATACCCATATTCGTACATCAGGCGGGTCACGCCTACAGTGTGAGGGCTAGTGGTACTACCTCCTCCCCAAACCTCGGTAAGTAGAGCAAAGTTCGAACTCCAAACCCACTAGTCGAACCTAGAGCAACTAGACAGATGAGCCACAACTGCTTCCAAATCACTGATAAAGGCAAAACAATTTGATGAAGAGCAGAAAATAAATACGAATAACGCTTAAAATTTATAGCAAGAACCAATGATATAATGCAGTCAATCATTACTAAATATGTTTCATATTGACATTATAAGTATTGGTAAAATCCTCGCATGAGTAACTTCATAAATAAGATGTGATGCTTCAGTGACTAACTTTTTTTGCCGTGGGATAAAATACCACACCAGTATCACCTAAGAAATTACATCAAGTGTAGGATACAGATTGATGAGATATTCCTCTGCACTTAATTTACGCTGATCTTAAACAACATTTAACTCACCATGACAACTGAATTTATCAATAAATAATCATCACCAGGCGTCCATGGTGTAATTTTTATTTCATGCTTGGATGTATGATTACTGACTTGAGCTTTTCTTTTCATGTTTTTAGAGAAATCTCTGCGACGACGATATGGTTGTCGTAAATGATTTCCGCTTGGTGACGAAATTTGACAGAAAGTAACCTACATATAAATTACTACTCATTGAGCTTACAGGAGTTTCTGAATAAGTTTTCGTATCTCCTTTCGAGTTATTAATAGTATTACCAGTAGTATTGTTGTTCATTTGCTGGAAAATAAATAGATTTGAAAATTCATCTACATGAATTTGAATATTGTATGGAAAACATGGGGAGTTTAATTTTTTAAACACAAAGTAAACCATACTAAAGCCACACATTTTTACATTCCTGAAAGTTAAATAACTTTTTAATTGTTACAACAGGTTTCGGAATAGTCTCATGAAAATAACATACAATCAATACTGAGTGATGATTGAAGGCGAAATAAAAATTTGGACCGCGGCGGAACTGCCAACCACAGATAATCAAAGTGGAAATAAAAGTAATAATTTGTTACAGCTTCCAAACTTTCCATCATTTTCTTAACAGCTGTTATTGTGAGAACTGGTCTAAAAATATAAACAAGCTACAAGCAGGAATCACTCCTTAGTCTTGTCATATACGTGGATATCGTTGATTCACAAGGAATTACTAAGTACAGTTATGAACTTTGATACCGCATAGCTTCCCTGAGAAAGACCAAACCGTACCCCAAAACTGAGAAAAATCACCGTACTACCAAGGTGCAGAAAAACCATACCAAAAAGCTACAGGTAACTCCAAATCATCATATCGACTCTAACCAGAGATGAACTCCCGGACCGATAGCTGCCACTCTGATGTGGCGGTCGGGCTTATATATTACAATGACCTAATGAGCTATGCTGCTGGAACACTCGTTCCCTCGAAGTCCTACCATACCAGAAAGGTCTGTTGGATAGCTGTTAGACAAAAAAGCATTAACCATTATAGTGCAAACTGCAACGCTATGAAGGGGACCTGAAGGTTACGTCGTACTGCTGGCAGGACCGCAGCATCACAGAAGTATGGTGTATCCCAGCAGTGATAAGTTGATGTTTATTCTTCCCTACGGGAAGGAGGGTTCAGAAAACGTCGGCTTTAAGAAAAACACACTCATACTACCCCAAGGCATGTCGATGTCTGAGACAGGGATTCCCAGTCGGATTCGAAACCTACAAACCAAAATTTCATGCTTCTAAAAAGGCCGCGTGTGATCGGTATCTAACGGATGTCCTGTAGACTCTGAGTTCACACACTATCACTTCTTTATCATGTACCTCAAGAAAAACTAGCCTTCAATGATGTGGGCAGCCACAAAGTGTCAACCACACCACACCCTCACAACTATGTTAGCGCTCAAGTTCCCTCCCCCCCCACAAACACACACACCACTACACACCTCCCTCATCCTTAACCTCATAATCTTTCTTCATGTCTCTCAGTTAACAATCCTACATCACCTTTAATTTCTAGCTCCACAGCTTCCAAAACCGACCTCAGTCCACAGAACAACATTCTTCATCCTAGTAAACCACGTTCCAAACTACACATTAAAGCCTGCGATGTTCACACCATCCCTCAATTTGGACAAAACTTTACTATATCGGGACATGGATGCGTGCTATGCTCGTGAGACACGCATACAGAACCCAAGTGCGGTTATCCACTTCACTTAACCGGACCAATAGGCTGAATCCGAAATATTCACCCTTTGAGTTCCCGAAGATTCGATGGCTGGGTCTCGTGGTTTTTCAGGTGTGCATAGAGCATTGAGCACTAAGGTAGAAAGCTCACTACTCGGCTGGATCCCAGTCAAAGTCCTCTCCCATATAGGCTGCTCAACTGAACGGCACACCCAGGACAAAAACAAATAGTGAAACTCATCGTTGTCTATCTGTAACCTCTCCTTACACACACTGACTGCAGTTCGCATGAAGTGAAGAACGAGTTCTACCGAAAACTGTATCACCTCCTACTCAATCCAAAGAGCTCACATGTAAGTAGCTCTTCCAGTTGATTTCAATACACAAGTCGGTAGGCTGTCAGACACAAAGGCACTTTCGCAATCACAGTCGAAAGAACAAATAACGACGACAGTGTGCTTTAACTGCGCTCACACAACGAACTACTTCGAGCCAGCACAAACTTCAGACAGAGAGATACAGTGTTTGACGTGGCGTCCACCGAGCTCAAATCAGCAGTGGACACAGGCAGACCAAATTCCTACTAGTCATCGTTAGCGAGGGTCAGCGGAAGACTACCCCACCGTCTAGAGCACGTGTTTAGATAGTGACCACGAGTTGGTTCGAGCGCGTGTGTCTGAGTTACAATGGCCGTAGGAAAACAACAGCAACAAGACAACTGCAATTACACCTCGAAAATGGGAGCACTAAGGCCTGTTCCAGAGAAACTAACTCCACAGTTATCGGAACAGATCAATATCACTCATCGTGAAGAAGCTTGGTACCATCTCTAGTCTGCTATAAAAACAGAGTTGAAGACCATGATCAAAAAAGATCAGCAGTTTCTTCTGAATCAATGCATGCAAGCGAGCGCATCTCTGCAGGCTCCGAGTACAATGAGGAGTGAATCCAACTCAAACATAGACTGGATAAATGTCTAAACAATCACCCCAAGCAGTGTTGGGCAGCAACGGCTAAACAGATCGAAAAGGCAGCGGCAACAGGTAACAGTAGACAATTATTTAGACAGGTTAAGGAAACTGGGCTGAAAAGACTAACGCTTAGTGAAACTATAGAGGAGAAGGATGGGTCTGAGACTAACTGGAACAATTTGCAGAACACTTCGAGGAACAGTTCAACTGACCTCCGGTTGTTGTTGTCTTGTCCGCTATCCAGTCGGATCCCGAATCGAACATTGATATAGGCCCTCAGCGCTTCCAGAAGTCAAGGAAGCGGTAGATAACGTGAAACCACAAACGGCAGCAGAACAGCACGGAAAGGTTTCTGAGGTATCCAACGACCGTGGTAGAGTGTTATTAGTCAAGCTAACTAAAGTGGTAACTAGTGCATGGAAGTCAAATATGATCATCTCTGAATGGTCTCAATCACTGATTATCCCAATCTTCAAGAAAAGCAAGAAATCCTCTTATGTTAACCACAGAGGAATCAGCCTGACAAACATAGCGTCTAAGATTCTAGGTTCTATAATTATTAGACCTTTGAGTGCAGCTCGACACCATACCCGAAAAAACCAGGCAGGCTTCACACCTAGCCATCGCTGTATCGACCAAATATTCACACTTCCCCAGGTTCGGGAACACAGGTACGCTTACCGACACCCCCAACAATAGCTGTATTTCTCGACCTGAAGGCAGCATTCCACTCTGTTAACCGAAAAGTCTTATGGGAAAGTCTCTCACTGAAAGGGATGCAGAATAAGTACACCTTATTCAAGGATCTTTACTCGAACACCTGTAGGCATATTAGAGGCTATGGTGAGCTGTGTACGTCAAACGGTGTCCATTAAGGATACCCATTCTCTCCATTCTATTCAATCTTGTCACAGACATTCTCATGGAGGCCTCCCTTTCCTCATCTGACACCACAGGCATTGATCTTATGACAGGAGAATCCTCCACAGATCTACACTATCCAGATTACATAGTCCTGTTACGTGAAGACGTTGACAAGATGCAGTCTTCTCGACACATTGAATGGCAACTCGAGAATGTCTGGGAAGCTTACCTCGCCTCCCAACTAAAAATTGTTCCTCCACGACTGGTCTTCGCCGGTGCCCTGGTTGGCAATAGAGTCAAGTGGTCGAATCCACTGGTCACTTCACTTACCAGCAAGGTCAGTCGGATTATCTCTCGTGAGTCATTGGCCGACAAAATCTCTGTGAATCCAAAAGACCCGATCAATTTTCGGCACCCTACGCCATTTATGGCGCCCCCACGATATCCCATTGTCCATTAAGGGTCGAGTGCACTGTGCTGCGGTTCACTCTATTCTACTGGATGCTTGTGAAACATAGTCATCAAAAGTAGAGAACATGAGAAGGATTCTGGTGTCTGACCACCGTTCTCCTCGTAGTATATGATGTGTCGTGGTGTCACCTCCTCAGTAATCCAAAAGTCAGACATACAGTTTTAGGGAGGAGAGGTAAGTCAGTTGACACGCCTGTGAACCCTCATCAACTCAGATGACTGGGACATGTGTTACATATGTCTACTCACCGGCTGCTTCGTCGCACAATGTTGGCCAAAGTATCTCCAGGTTAGAAAAAGGCTCGTCGCGGCCAGACTAAAACATGGCACTATTACATGAAGTCCCTGACTGCTCCTTTGAGTCATGTAGGGCGACTCAGACTAGCCGTTGCCGTCCGCCGGACAAGAAAAACCAGTGGTTAGAGACTACAGGTGATACGGCTCAGAATTGATGTCACTCACGCAGATGAAAACACACATTGACCTAATCTTAACCGCTATACTTAATCTCATCATTTTCTCATTCTTTCTTCCTCTCTACTACTGCTTTCTGATTCTTTTGACCGATTTTCCTTCCTCACTTCATATTTCATCTTACTGCTTTGTTATTTGTTGTGCTGATATGTGACGTAACTTGGTCCGTTGTGCAGTAATGCCTGGTCCTATGTTGATTTCGATGGTGATGTTCGTCTTCAGGACATGTTTTTAATCTACATATTGTATTTCCAAGATCCTATAATAATCCTCGTTGAACTCGGACTGAATGGGCTGAGTAATGATTCAGTAATCTTTCCAGCATGTGGTGGTTTTTCTATGCACTGGATTTTTTTAGACTGCCACCTATCATTGTATTAATTTCACACTCCACTATTGGCAGTATTCCCATTTTATTCTCTATTTCCATAGTTATTTTTATGGAGTCCATATGACTTTATATATGAATGAAATTTATGTTTTATTTATCATTACTAGCACATCATTAATATATCTCAACCAAATTTCAGTCCAGTAAAAAAATGGTTTCAGAGTCCTTCCTTCACAGAAATCCATAAATATTTCCGATAATATCGGCGACATAGATGATCATATAGTTAATATCTGAATAAGTGACGCAGATCTTGAATCCATGCCCCAATGGTTAATAGCGGAGTACTCAAACCAATGAAGTGTAACTACAACGATACAAATATGACATGTTCGATTACAAACAATCAAAAACGTTTAATATTCCCATAACTTTACCCTGTGGTGAATCAG